GCTCGCCCGTATCCATTGGCCCCGTTTACAGCCAAAGTCCGCACATTCCAGGTTGCTACCCTAAGAAGTTGACCCTGCTGTCTCTTTCGCGCGGCGCGCGCTGCTCTCTTAGCTAGTCTACGCGCCGCCCGACCCCTCCTTTTCCTCCATCTTCCCCTCTTTGTTTGTATTTTTGCTATTTTTTTGCGAACACTCGGGCTAACGTGATAGTTACCCCGGTTCTTGCCTTGCTTCCCATAGAGTTGTCTTTTTGTCCCGGAGCGGTGTGGCCCTCCATCTCTGGACTCTCTCCTTTCCTCTCTCTGGGGCATACCCCCACGGCGTGCGGCCACTCCGCCACCCTCACCGTGCTTTCTGCTGCTGCATAGCCCCGGTGTCCAAGCCGGGGCGTCAGGATCCAGTCTCATTTTGCAGCTACCAAAGCTGGCGGCTCAGGAGCTACCCCGATCTCACGACACCAGTAACTCCCAACCGCCAAACTCAGGATCCCCCTGTCAACAGTGCTAGGGACCGTATATCCGTCTTTGCTGGGTGGTCTTTCGAGGTCTAGATCCACTTGCGGAACCTCGGCCTACCCCAGGGACGGGGGGGGCAGGCCGGGGAGACCGTGAGTATGGAGGCTTTACTATTCAGATTTTACAAAACACTGCCTATCAATATTATCATCATGTGTACGTGTAGTACAATGTAACGAAACAACTGCTTCTACTGCCGCGAAGAGAAGCGGAAACCCTCCGCATACCGTGCCCCCGCGGGATTATACTACAGCTTCGGCGACGGGCGCTAGCGGCACTTTTCACGGTGGTTGTGTGTACCGGATCTTATAACTTGATCCATAATAAGCATAAATTATTTCCAAGTTCCGGTGCAGCGTTCCCACTGCGATGGCTTCCGACAGGCTGAATTGATGTCTTCAATGCAGGGGAAAGATACGGGGGATTCGAGGAAACGAGCGCATGCCACGTCCAGCTCGAGCCATGTTACGGTTGAGAGCAGTCGCGGCGCTCCGAGACCACGGGTAAGTGCTACACCATATAGTCCGGGGGTAGGGGTTAGGACCCATGTCTCCAGCGTTCTTGAATACCCTGGTCAAGTCTGCGTTGCGTTGGATGATCGTGTACACGAAACGCGCGAAGACGACGCCGAGAGGGGTGCACGCAGTCCCGATCCACCTCTTGCCCGACCCGTTTACTATGGCGTCCGTCATCATGTAGATAGGTGCTATCAGGGACGATGGTACGTATCATCGAGCAGATCCAGCGCGACCTCTTGACCTAGGGAAAACCACCCGACTTGGAATTGGAGTGCTACGCGGCACTCGCGTCGAGGATGGACGCCTTCGTCGACATCTTCAACGGCAAGTATTAAATATATTTTTTATCCCAAGTCATACTGGTTCTTCCCGTCGCGGTACAGTACGTGAAGGGGCCTGTCGCCTGCCTACTATTCTAATAGTTTCCTAGATTCCTTGTGCCCATGAGCATTGCGTTCTCTCCGTGCGCACCATAACTCGCCTTTTCACCCGACAGACCCACTGCCCCCACGGGAAATGTTTGCGCGTGTGTGTGAGTGTTTTTTTTATTAGCATCGACAGACCCACTGCCCCCATGGGACATGTGTGCGTGTCTGTGTGCGTGTTTTTAGTATTAGCATCGACCGCGCCAACCGGCTGACCAATTGAATGACGTCAGTGCCAGCTGGTAAAAATCAAGGTCCCTGGAAGGGGGACAAAATTCGAAAAACGCGCAATGCGCTAGATGCGAATACCAACACGACTCTCTCTACATAAAATTTCACGTAGACACACGTCTCAGCTACGCAAATGCCCTCGCTCGAATCTAGGAAGCCACTGATGCAAAGAGCGGAGGACAGCAAAAGGGTTACTTCAAGCCCAGCCGAAGCCAGGATATCGTGGTATGCTGCATCTCCCAATTTGATAGTCGTACACTCCCAAGATCCCACAGTTATCGTGTCAGCAGCTAGAT